GAGCTCTGAATTTGGACAGTGTAACTTCCCCTATTGCCTCTAGCTGTGTGAAGAAGGGCAAGTTAATTTCTCTCTCTAAGCCTGTGTCCTCATTTGTAAATGGTGGATAATAATAGTATACTTCATACAAGTCTTGCAAGGATTAAATGAAGAAATATTCCCGAAGTGCTTAGCACAGTGCCAGGTACATGGTAACCGCTTAATAAATAGCTATTTACGTTAGCATTGCTGTCATCGGTATCAGTATCGGCAACAAAGTGGGTGCTATATACATTTGGAATGCTAAAAGCAATTTTTAACAGTTACAGCCTAACATCGAGGGAAAGAGGAAAAAAATTATTAAGAACACAAGCTTACATTTAAAAAATAATAGATAACAGTGTCAGTGTAAAGGGAAACCGCCCAATGCACTTCAATAGCACGTGGAGGCATTGTATTGTACAATGTTCAAGTGCTATCATTATATAATTAATAATACCCTGAGTCATGGAGAAAATGTTCAGCACACTCTATTTTAGAAGGCAGAGAAGAGACAGCATGCTCCGAGAAGGCATATTTCAGCTAAAACAGTTTTTGTGCAGGCACTCATGTGGAACAGAATGTAAACTAATAATGCCAAACAAATAAAACTCCCCTATTTGAAAACTTCCAGGGATTTACCCCAACATTGACTTGAAAAGTTATTTACACATGGGATAGATTGTTTTTGGAGAACGATATTTATTTATTTATTTATTTATTTATTTTTTTCAACGTTTTATTTATTTTTGGGACAGAGAGAGACAGAGCATGAACGGGGGAGGGGCAGAGAGAGAGGGAGACACAGAATCGGAAACAGGCTCCAGGCTCCGAGCCATCAGCCCAGAGCCTGACGCGGGGCTCGAACTCCCGGACCGCGAGATCGTGACCTGGCTGAAGTCGGACGCTTAACCGACTGCGCCACCCAGGCGCCCCGGGAGAACGATATTTAGAGTACATCATATCATCTCCTTATGGATAAGCCAGTGAAGTTGTCTCATGTTTTAAATATGTCAAAACTTTACACAGTGGTTTTCCAATTAGATGTGTAGAATTCATGGAAGTGTGTGGTGAATGAACATCTCAGGGTGTAAGTCAGAGACAGGACTGGTTAGAGGCAGTAGCTGTTCAAGCACATTAATAGCACACACACATACACACTCACGCACAACCTATCACATGACATTTATCTCAGGAAAACATATTTTCAAGCCACAAATTAGCACCTACAAGATGAGAAGTACAGACGTCCTTAAGGGGGTAATGGGATGGAATATTTACAACGTAGAACTTCCTTGGACCCTCCAAGCCTCTCCTTGTCCTCGCCTGGTGTGGCTCCTTCCCATTTTCTGAGCGGGCTTCCCGGGGCCAAGTGACAGCTCTGGTTTCAGTTCTTGGGTTCATTTCTCGCTTTAGTCTATTCCAGTAACTTCCTTTCAATCCCTAGGCAGGTCACCCGTTGGGCTCCACCAACCCAAACAATCACAGGTTGGTTCTTTGGTGGCTGGTGGGACAGATGCCGCTTCTCTCTGAATCCCCTGCTCCTAACTACGAATCCTAACCTAACAGGCGCTCAATAAATGTTTGTCGAATGAGACTGAATTAGCACAGCTGAGAATTAGCAGTGCTCCCTCACTTCCTGAGCCACCTGGGTTAACACTTCCCAGAGTGCCTCAGCCCAGACAGCCGGCCTGGCCCAGCAGACGGCCTTATCCTCTGCCCCTGGGGGAGCCAGGCTGGCTGCCTCGTTCCTCCTGTGGGAGCCTGGACCTGCTTGAAGGCCGTGGATCTGGCGGAGCACATGTGGATTGCCCTGAAGCAGCATTTTCCCAAGGCTTGGCTGTGCTAATTATTCCTTCCTCTCCTGGTGTTAAAACCTTGGACGAGAAAATGAAATCAAGGGAGGGGGTAAGGAAGAGCAAAGGGGAAGGAAAGTCGTTAATAAGCAGAACAAGGTCACCCATCTGCTGCTGTCCACACTCCTTATCTGTGACGCCACCAGCCCCAAGGTCACCTCTTTTCATTAAAACAGTTGTATTACCTAAAAATGATAAAATTAACTAAATTCCAGCCTTCTGCCTTAGACATAACAGAGCTCATCTTGATATTGAGGCTGCCCTGATGGCATGAGGCTTCTCTCCTCCCTGTAGCCCTGAAGTAGGCGAGGCAACCCAACTGCTGGTAGGGAGGCTGGTGGGACGAGCAGGCACCAGGTCTCCTGCATGTCATAGCAGGGCTGGTGGCTGTTCTCCCAGTTGGGTAGACTTGCATGTCTGCAAGGTTCTGTTTCCTGGGCAGGTGAGAGACAAACCTGCCAGACTCCTGCTCTCGGACTGGGCTGTGGCAAAATGCCTCCTCATTCCACATCTCTGCGGGGGCGGGGGGGGGGGGGCGAGGGGGGGGGGGGGAGGAGGAGCCTGCCAGGCTGCGCCAGGCTCCTACAAGCCAGGAAGACAGAGTGCCTTGAAGACCATGATGCTCCAGTGGAGTGGCCCGTGGCATAGTCTGTGTACTGGGATGAGATGCAGAGAAATGCATGGGCAGACTGTGCCCTGACAGAGGTGTGGGGATGGAGGGGTGAGGTCCAGTAGAATCCAGGAGCTATGTGATCCTGGGCAAGCCACTGAGTCTCAATTTCTTCAACTGCAAAATAGAAATAGTGATCACTATTGTCACTATTGTCACTAATCCTAGTGCCCTAGGATTAAAGGAAATAGCATATTTAAATGTTCTAGCATCTGCTTGACATACTGTGGGGCTTGATTAATATTTGGTTCTTCAATTATTCCTAAACAAACCCATAAAATAAATACTAATGCAACCACCAAAATCCAAGCAAAGAAACCAAAGCAAAAAGCAAAAGCAGGGGCAAGGCTGATATAATAATTTTTTCAGATTACAAAAGGCACAGAAGGATAATAAATGCTGTTATGCACTTTGCACCATCCCCCAGCTTTCCTGAGATATAACTGACATATAATGTCATGTAGGTTTATGGGGTACAACATGATGATTTGATACACATAAAAATTGTGAAATGATTATCTCAGTGAGGATAATTAACATCTCTATCACCGGGGCGCCTGGGTGGCGCAGTCGGTTAAGCGTCCGACTTCAGCCAGGTCACGATCTCGCGGTCCGGGAGTTCGAGCCCCGCGTCAGGCTCTGGGCTGATGGCTCAGAGCCTGGAGCCTGTTTCCGATTCTGTGTCTTCCTCTCTCTCTGCCCCTCCCCCGTTCATGCTCTGTCTCTCTCTGTCCCAAAAATAAATAAACGTTGAAAAAAAAAATTTTAAAAACATCTCTATCACCTCACGTAATTACCTTTTTGTGTGTGTGTGAGCTCACATGTGTGTGGCGAAAGTATTTAAGATCTACTCTCTTAGCATAAAAAAAAAGATCTACTCTCTTAGCAACTTTAAAGTATATAATACAACATTAAAGTATTAAAGTATTGTTAACTATAGTCAGCATGCTGTGCATTAGACCTCCAGAATGTATTCACTTTGTAACTGGGTTTGTAACTTTTGACCACCATCTTCTTGTTTCCTTCATCCCCCAACTCCTGGTACCATCATTTTATTCTCTGTTTCTAGGAGCCCTACTTTTTTAGATTCTACACATAAGTGATATCATATGGTATTTGTCTTTCTCCACCTGACTTTTTTCACTTAACATAACGCCCTCAAGATCCATCCATGTTATTGCAAAAGGCAGGATTTAATCAGCCATAAAAAAAAAAAAAAAAAAAAAAAGAAATCCATTTTATTTATCTAATAATATATCTTGGAGATCAGGTTAAACCAGTACCCATAGATCTGATAAATAAGTACCTTCATATCACTTGGGGGAAAAAAACAAACCTGTATGATAGTCCATTACATGAGCATATCAGAGCTCTACCGGTTGACAGGGGCAGGTAATCTTTTGTTCTGTCTGACCCTGTGACCATGAATATCCTTGTACACAGTCTTGGGGCATATGCATCAGCATACCTATAGTTCCATACTTTCCAACAACTTGGGTGAAAATATAGAAGGCACATTAAATTAGCAGTTTGGGTGGAAACATAGAAGGCACACTTTCCAATTTTGCTGAAAGGGAGAGAAACAAAATTGATGGGCAGAATTCCATGTAAGCCTCCACTAGGCTATTATTTATGTAGTGTATATATATATATACACACATATATATGTGTATATACATATATATATACTATATATATATATACTATATATGTGTAGTATATATATACATATATATACTATATATATAGTATATATATAGTATATATATATAGTATATATAGTATATATATATTAAGTATAAATAGTATATATAGTATATATACATAGTATATATATAGTATATATATATAGTATACATATATGTATATGTAGTATACATATATAGTATGTAGATATATACATATATAGTATGTATATATATACATATATATACACTATCTCTATCCTTTATCTATTGAGTGCCTGCTATGTGCCAGGTACTATTGCAGGCATGTGGGAGCCATCCCTGAATAAAGCCAACCAAGATCTCTGCCTTTTTGGAGGTGATGAACTAGCAGGAGAAGACAGACAATAAAAAACATAATAAACAAGGAAATTACATAGTATGTCAGAAAGAGATAAGTGCTGTTGAAAATGGGGAAATGTGGAACAGGGTAAGGGGGATCTAGAGTCTTAGGGGAAGAGAGTGATCTTGAAGCTCTATTAGGTTTCATAACTTACTTTTGTGATTTAAAGCATGGCCTATGATGGTCAAGGACACATCTCAATTTCATTGAATGAAAGTCAAACAAATGAACACTTCTGTACCTGGCTAGGTCTGCAGAATCTCACTGCCTTTAGCCATCCTCCTCTGGGAAAACTCCAGGATGCCAACATTCCACTTAAAAATGTATCACCCAGAGAGCAGGACCAGGGAGCGGCATTTTTGTGGATGGTGACAGCATCTTGTTGTCACATGTTGGATTTACAGTTGTCAGAAACCCTAGGGTGGTTGTTTTTTGGGAATAGCCATTAAGTCAAGTTATTCTTATTTTGTTCTGCATAAGCTTATATTTTTTCATCCTTAACACAGCACACTTGTGAGTCTTTTTCCCTGATAGCCTCCTAGTTTAGTTTAATTCCCTGTTTCTACTCTGTTGAAATGCTGCATCTCAAGTCTGAGCAGGGTTGTTGGGTCATGGAGACTTAAAAAATTTTTTTTAATGTTTATTTTTGAGAGAGAGAAAGAGAGAGCACACACATGAGTGGGGAAGGGGCAGAGAGAGAAGGAGACAGATGATCCAAAGTGGGCTCTGCACTGACAGCAGACAGCCCAATGTGGGGCTCAAACTCACAAATCCTGAGATCATGATCTGAGCTGAAGTCAGCTGCTTAACCAACTAAGCTACCCAGGTGTGCCCTGGAGACTTTTTAATTTTATTTTATTTGAAAAATTTTGCCAAACTAAGGAGTCTGGACTTACTTCTGAGAGCCAATACCAGGGAGGAAGGCAGGCTCACTGTTGAGAGGGGAGAGGGGCTGAGAGCCTCAGCCAAGGTGGCAGAGGTGAGAGTGCAGGGAAGGGGTGGGCAGAGGGCATGTGGGGAATAGAAGGGAGGGGGTGTAGAGCTGTGGAGGCTGCCCCCCCCCCAACACTAAGGGGTGACTGGGTGAAGCCTTTTACCAAAATAAAGATTACTGGGGGTGGGGAAGCACATTTTAGGACAAGCTTGCTGAACCTGACATTGGGTGTGATGATGGTGAGGAGTCTGGACCAGATCCCCATGAGACTGACCCCTGGGCCCTAGAGATGGGTCTAGCCTGGGGATTTGGAAGCGGATGTTATCACTTACCAAGGGAAGCAGGCAAGTTACGTGCACAGAAGAGGGATATCACCTGAAACTAACAGAACACTGTGTGTCAACAATACTCAAAAAAAAAAAAAAAAAGGGGGAATGCTACTATATGCTAACATGAACTAGAAAGAAAAAAATCATGGGTTCCATCTGGATGGGTCACCAGAAGCTGATCCCCTAACTCGTGGGGCCGAGAGTGGGCTAGGTGAGCCCCAGCTCTGAGAAGGCTTGATCTCTGCTTGGGCTTCTCTGTCTCTCCCTCTCTCTCTGCCCCTCCCTGCCTCTCAAAATAAATAAGCTTAAAAAAAATAACTGTACTTTGCAGGATCGATGTAGAATTTAAATGGAATTCCTCATTTCAGCGTGTGGCACATAATGTGTGCGTCACATGAACGGCCTGCCGAATCGCTGTCTACGGTGGATTTGGTGCTAGCGGGCCTTCGAGGAATGTAAGCAGTGGAGTGATCAGAGGTGGCCGGGTTTGACTGGAGTGTTTGTGAAGAGGGAACATTCTGAACCAGATTTTGAAGGAAACGTGGCTGATAGTCATCAAAAAGAGAAAAGGCATTCTAAGTAAATTAAATAGCATATGGAAAATCTCCAAATAAAAGGTATTTGTTTGCTGGAAGGAGAATGAAAAACAGAATTGATGAGATGGGAAGGCCAGTTTTTTCAACACTTTCAAGGTCAAGAAATCTCCTTTGTACAAAGCCCCCAAATGAACATTGGGGTGGTTTGTCTCCCGTTCTAGCCGATGAGATCACAGAACCAATCTGTCACCAGCACCTCCCTTTAGGGTTGGGAAAGTGCAGCTGTGAGATGGTTAGGGTAATTCTGGTATCACTCTGCAAAGTTTACTTAGAGTTTTCAGGAATGTTCTTTGGGGTAAGAAAAACCACCTTAGAATTATGTGATTATGTGAATTATCCCTTCTGTGATTTTGGGAACAGGTTTTTCACGTGGGTCAGAATCCCATGAGAAATACCAGATGCAAGGTAGGCGATGAGGCTTTTCACAGCAGCGGAAGTGATGCAAAGTCTGGAACACTTTTGAAGACACCCCAAAATCTGTCAACATGAATATGGGTGCTTTTCCGGGAGGACAAGACCTAATGTTGTCAGCTCCAAGATTGCCTGTGGGGAGGTGATAATGTGAGGGGGTCTCTCAGAATATGGAAGAGCCCTTCCCGAAACGGAATTGAACGGTCACACTCCCTCGATCCTGTCTCAGGGTCACCACCTCACCACAAAATGATACAGGGTGCAAGGGAAGGTGTCAGAGTGCATCTCCCCTTTATTCCTGAAGTCTCTTATCTTGTGGGTCCCACAGCCCTGTGAGAAGCAAGAACTGTCTGGCCCTCTTCCTGGGGGCAGGTCTCTAGGCACACACATGCGCGCTTTGGCAGCTGCGTCTGCAGGTCACAGACCAGGGGGCCGTCCGTTGGCCTCAGTTAAAAACGCACGCTGTTGTGATAACTATCTCCTTGGCCTTGTACTGTCATTCAAGTTTTCATGATGGATGGCAGATTTTCTGACAATGGGCACCAGGTCTTAAATCATAGCACTCTCTGTGGCCTCCACACAGTTTCAGGCACATTCTAGAAGCTCATTGAATGTTTGTTGAATTGAATCTCCACCTGAGCTGCAGGGACAGACACCTGCTTTCTTGTTAACATAGAGAAACTGGGCAGTTTTTTTTAACCTCCCTCAAATGGAGTTAATATACCTCGAAGGGAGACAAATACACGTCTGTAGTCAGAAACAATATGCCTGAGGTGGGGCACACACCACAATGATGCTTTTTCTTCTGCCTTTCCAGATGCAGACCAACTAACTACAAGGAAATACAGCACACAGCAGAACTATATAACAAGGTGATCTTTAGATTTTTTTTTTTTTTTCTTTTTCCCCAACCCTGAGCTGTGGCCCTTGAATAATCTTGGTTTCCGGAGAGAGCAGACTACTGTAATGATAATCCAGGAAGTAAATTGCCCTTTGAAAAGCAAGGAAGAAACCAATCGACTAAGTATTTATTTATATTTAATGCTCCAGGGCTTCTGTTTTCAACTTTGAAGAGTTCCTGGCAAACGCTTCTTGAAGTCATTAATCCCAGGGGCAAATCTAAATGTCTTACAGGCTGGTCCTGGCCCCTGGAGCCTGGCACACTGTGTTTATAACTCATGGGCTTTCCAGAAAGACAGGAATGGGGGAGGGAGGAGCTGGGCAGTGAACGAATGGTGGGGAGCTCTATTTTGAATCTGTGCTGGAATCTTTGGTCAGAAATGAATTCTCCAGAATTAAAAAAAAAGTTAATGTTTATTTTTGAGAGAGAGAGAGAGAGAGAGAGAGAGAATGAGCAGGGGAGGGGTGGAGAGAGAGAAAGACACAGAATCCGAAGCAGGCTCCAGGCTCTGAGCTGTCAGCACAGAGCCCGACGTGGGGCTAGAACTTGCAAACCAGGAGATCATGACCTGAGCCGAAGTCGGACGCTCAATCAACTGAGCCACCCAGGCACCTCGAATTCTCCAGAATTGATTTGGGTTTTTCCAGTGGGGGTGACCTGCCCACACCCTTCCAACCTGAAGTTGGACACGGACCCATTGACTCCTACATTCCTCCATCCTGTCTGGGGTCCCTGTTGAATGATGTCAGCTGGGGCCAGCTCCAGCGTGACTGGCTCCAAAAGTACCTATATTTTTCCTTGTAATGTATAAGCAATCTTTGCTCATAATAGAAAATTAGCAACTGCAAATAAGCAAAAAGAAAAGAAATGCCATGAGATTTTCCCTCTCAAAGATAATGAGGCTTCCCATATTTACTTATACATTCACACACATATATAAACAAAAAAAAAGTGTTGTTCTATACATACTATTGTATAGCCAGTTTTCCCTCACATGAATAGTATTTTATAGATCAGTAAATATAAACCAAGAGCATTGTGGGTAGTGGCTGCATAGCAGATCATCATATGATGTTGTAAATGTACTTAACCAGTTCCCCTATTTGGTGATTTAAAAGCTGCATTTGCTTGCTAGGGTTGCTGTAGCAAAGTGCCACAGACTGGGTGGTGTAAACAGCAGGACTTTCTTTCTTCTGGCAAGTTCTGGAGGCTGGATGTCTGAGATGAAGGTGTCTGCAGGGCTGATTTCTCCAGAGGCCTCTCTTTTTGGCTTATAAGTGGCTGCCTTCTCCTCTGTCTTCATGTGGCCTTCGTTCTGTTCCTGTGTGTGTTCACATTTCCTCTTCTTGTAAGGACACCAGTCATATGGGATTAGGGTCCACCCTAATATCCTCATTTTCACTTAACTACTTCTTTTTTTTTTTTAATTTTTTAAATATTTATTTATTTTGGAGCAAGACAGAGAGTGAGCAGGGGAGGGGCAGAAAGAGGGAGACACAGAATCCAAAGCAGGTTCCAGACTCTAAGCTGGTAGCACAGAGCCTGATGCGGGGCTTGAATTCAAAAACCGTGAGAGCATGACCTGAACCAAAGTCGGACACTTAACTGACTGAGCCACCCAGGTGCCCCTCACTTAACTACTTCTTTAAAGACCCTATCCACAAATATACTCACATTCGGAGGTTCTCGGAGTTAGGATTTCAATATGTGAATTTTGAGGAACACAATTCAGCTCATAATAGCAGCTAATATTTTAGAAAGGTTACTATGGGCCTTTACATATGTTATCTCATTTAACAACCCTAAGATATAGGTACTATTATTACCCCCATTTCACAGATGATGAAACTGTGGCACAGAGAAGTTTAGTAACTTATCTCAAAGTCACACAGTGGCAAAGTTGCATTCAAACCAGCCAGTTTAGCTTGAGTCTGTGTTTCTAGGCATTTTGATATGAACTATGAACTATTATGAACTATCACCCTTGTAAGTTGCCACTGTTTACAGCTATTACTATTATTTCCTATATACTTACTTGTCTGATTAATTCCCTAGGATAAAGTGGAACTTCAGGGTGAAAAAAAAAGTGAGCATTTTTAGCACTTTTAATACAGATTGCCATCCACAAAGCCTGTATCCATTTACATTTCCAACAGCAGTGCACAAGTGGAGCTAGGAAGACCCCTCTAGGATGTTGGGTCCAAATCCTTGTGGTTGGAAGTGTGTACGTACACACACAAATGTGAAGTTTCATAAAATGTTTTGCTGAAGTGAAGCACAAACCGAGGAGAAACAAGCTGCTGGAGTTCAGCTATTACACTTCCATTCTCAGTTTGTCCATCCTATTGTGGAAAGAGAAGCATAAAACTCTGTTCCAAATCGGGGCGCCTGGGTGGCTTAGTCGATTGAGTGTCTGACTCTTGATTTCAGCTTAGGTCATGATCTCACAGTTTGTGGGTTCCAGCCCCATGTCAGGATCTGTGCTGTGTCAGCACGGAGCCTGCTTGGAATTCTCTCTCCCTCTCTCTACCCCTCCCCCACTCATGCTCTCATGCTCTCTCAAAATAAATAAACTTAAAAATAATAAAAACAACAACAACAACAAACTCTGTTCCACATCATGTTGGGGAGTTTGGTGAGGAATGTACATAAACACATTATCTTAGACGTGAAAGAGGAAATCCCAGAAATGTACTTTTTGTCATATCCAACCCCTTTAAGTCAGGTTTATTGAGATCTATTTTACATTACAATAAAATCCATCCATTTTGGAGGTGGTTCCATGAAGTCTGATACATACACACAGCTGTGTAACCACCGCCACAGCCAGGGATATAGGACATCGCTATCAGTCTTAAATGTTCCTTTGTGCCTTTTTGTCATCAAACCCCCACCCCCAGCCCCGGTCAACTATTGATCTGTGTTCTGTCCTGTAGTTTTGTCTTTTCCAGATGGTTCATAGATGGAATCTTGTGGTGTGTCGTCTTCTGAGTCCAATTTCTTTCACTTAGCATAATGCATCTGAGACTCATCATTTTGCTGCATGCATCCATATTTTGTTCCTCTTTACTGCTAAGCAGTAGGGATGGAAGGGGTCTGGAAGTAAGCATTCATGTGCCATAGGTTTTTTACCCATTCGCTAGTTGAATAAATTATTTCTAGCTTTTTACTGTTGTGAATACCTTTACATGTTTTTACATTAATTTTGTGTATCCTCCCTCCCTCCCTTCCTTCCTTCCTTCACTTCCTTCCTTCCTCCCTTCCTCCCCCCCTTCCTCCTTTCCTTGTTTTTTCCTTTCTCTCTTTCTCTCTCTCTCTCTCTCTTTTTTTTTTTTTTTTTGGTATAGCGATTTGAATAGGTGTGCGGTGCTATCTCATTGTGGTTTTAACTTGCATATCCTTAATGACTATTGATGTTGAACATCTTTTAATGTGTTTATTTACCTATCTTCTTTGGTAAACTGTTCACATATTTTGCCCATTTTTAAATCAAGTTACTTTTTTTCTTATTATCATCTATGTCTTTTCCAAATATTTTCTCCCAGTCCATAACTTGTCTTTTAATTTTCGTAATCACATCTTTGGAAGAAAAGGCATTTTAAATTTTGATAAGTTTCAGCTGATGACCTAAAAAAAAAAAAAATCGTTAGTGTTTTTAGTGTCCTGCCTAAGAAATTTTTGCCTAACCCCAAGTCATCAGGATTTTCAACTATGTTTTCTTTTTTTTTTTTTTAATTTTTTTTTCAACGTTTTTATTTATTTTTGGGACAGAGAGAGACAGAGCATGAACGGGGGAGGGTCAGAGAGAGAGGGAGACACAGAATCGGAAACAGGCTCCAGGCTCTGAGCCATCAGCCCAGAGCCTGACGCGGGGCTCGAACTCATGGACCGCGAGATCGTGACCTGGCTGAAGTCGGACGCCCAACCGACTGCGCCACCCAGGCGCCCCCAACTATGTTTTCTTTTAGAAATTTTATAGTTTAAGGTTTTATAGTTAGGTTTATCATCCTTTTCAAAATAATTTTTGGGAGGATCTGGGTGGCTCAATAGGTTGAGCATATGGCTCTTGGTTTCAGCTCAGCTCATAATCCTGTGGTTGTAGGATCAAGCCCCGTATCAGGCTCCAAGCTGAGCATAGAACCTGCTTGAAGTTCTCTCTCTCTCTCTCTCTCTCTCTCTCTCTCTCTCTCTCCCCTTTGCCCTTCTCCCCCACTTGTACTCTCTCTTTCTCTCTCAAAATAATAAAATAAAATAAAATAAAATAATTAAAAAAACATCAAGTTAACTTTTGTATATGATGCAAGGGATGGATGGATATGGGTTGAGTTTTTGTCTGTTTGTTTTTGTTTTGTTTATGGATATTCTATTGTGTCAGCTTTATTTGTTGAAACATGAAGATATCTTATGATGTCTGATACTTAATAATTCAGTAAAGAATGTGAATTATTTCTGCCTGAGTCCAGAGGGCATGAGGCCTGGAGGTGGCTGCTGAAAGGCTATGGCTCCACAGAAGTCAGCCTGAGCCCACCCACCACCGTTCCTCTTGCTGAAGGCTGTTACCTAGAGAATGCTGAGAGGGAGGACTCCCACACAGGGCACCTTTCAGGGGCTCATTAAAAATGGCACCTGAGGGGCGCCTGGGTGGTGCAGTCGGTTAAGCGTCCGACTTCAGCCAGGTCACGATCTCGCAGTCCGTGAGTTCGAGCCCCACGTCAGGCTCTGGGCTGATGGCTCGGAGCCTGGAGCCTGTTTCCGATTCTGTGTCTCCCTCTCTCTCTGCCCCTCCCCCGTTCATGCTCTGTCTCTCTCTGTCCCAAAAATTAAAAAAAAAAAAAAAAATGGCACCTGAGAGTGAGCAATGTTTGGGGTTCTGGGGGCCAGATTGGGATCCAGTGATGGCATCAGAGCCATCCTGAGTGATGTGTTATCTTCAGGCCTACTCTGGGGGCCTGGGAACAGGCATTTGAGGCTCTTTCTCATGAAAGTTATGGATGAAAACACTCTTCTATGTGGCACAGTGCAAGAAAGTTTTGATGGGTCTGGAACACTCCCTCTGATGTGAAAGAACACTCATTTGTAGCCATCCACTGGCGCCCCAGGGATGCACTTTTCATGCTCCCTGGAGCCACATACAAGTGTGCTCTTTCATTGTTCAGATGAAGACTCTGAGGCTCAAGGTCATGCAGTGAGTGGGTCCCACTGGCCCTGTTTTGTTTCTGATGTCTTGAATACCCAGGTACTTCCCTGGCCCTCCATGTACATGGACATGGCCCTCAGCTCCTCAAACTCATCGTGTCCAATTTGGAATTCTTTCTTCTCCCTCCTATCCTCACCTTCCCACTTCAAATTGCCTTTTGTCTTGATCTCCTCTCTTGGTAGTATTTTACCAACCACCTGGTTACCCAAACAGGAAACCAGGGGGGGGCCCTTGACACACCCTCTCCTTTACCTCCTGTATCAGATCCATCACAAATCTCCATTGTGCCTACCTTCCAAACACCTCCCAAATGTGTGCCTTCCTTTTTGTCCCCTCCTGGTGTCCCCTGGGTTCAGAAAGTCAACGTCTATCATCTGTACATATGAAATAACCTCCTCCCTGTTGGCCTATCTTCTCCCCAGTCTTCTTTAGCTAAGCTATTGCCTGCACAGCCACCAAAGTGACCGTTCCAGAATGCAGTGTTGATAATGTCACTCCTCTGCTTAAAACTCTTTTGTGGCTCCGTGTTGCCTCCCTGATAAAGATCAGACTCTTCAGCTTGGCACCCTGGGCCCTGCCGAAGGCTTGGGACACACGTCCTCTTGCCCCTTGTACCTCAGCAATAAAGAGCTCTTATTTTGTGTCTGTTTTTTTTCCTAGATGACAGCAATCTCACTGTAACAATTTGTTTACACACCTGTCCTCCTCACTAGACTGCGAAGTGCTTGATGGCAGGGACTGTACTTCCCTTGTAGCATATTGCACGGGGCCTGGCACAAAGTCATTACAGTCATTCATCTGATAAACATTTGTTTAATGTCCACCATCACGTGTCAAATGTATAGCATGTATTAGAATGTCAGCTTGTCCCTTTGCCAGAGTGTCTTAATAATTTTAAACAAAAGACTTAGGAGTGCTACCTTTTAGGACAGGACTGACTACTGACCACTTTGCAGTCCTTTCCCAAAGTGAAGGATGGCTGTAAATTAAAATGCTGGCATCTGAAACTCTCTGGTGAGATCAATCCTGTTTCATGCTCAATTGTCCATTTTGCTCTCTGGAAAATGTGGTAGATCAAATGATAAGGCTTCGGAAGGGTCTTTCCAGCTGCTTTGGGAGGAGGATGAGGAGACAGGTGGTGACAGAAAAGCCTGTCCCAAACAGGATTCATTATTTTGCCAACAAGTTTCTTCCCCTGTGTACCTGATGTCAGTTAATGGCATCACAGGACCACCTGTCTCCTCCCTGACTTTCTCCCCTCACACACCGTGTTCCAGCCTCTGACAACTTTTCTGATTTCTCTGAGAACATCACAGACTCTGTCATACCCTCCTGCTTTTGAGCATACCGAGCCTATGGCCTGCATTGTGCTTCCAAAATCCCTTGACTTGGTGGGTTCTACATGTATCTTTGCTGTGTGTGTGTGTATATGTGTGTGTGCATTTGTGTGTGTATGTGTGTTTATGCATGTGTGGGTTTATGTGCATATGCATGTGTTTATGTGCGTGAATCTTTGTTGTATGTTTATGTGTGTATATATGTATGTGTTGTGTGTGTGTGTGTGCATGCTTATGCATGTGCATATGTGTGTGTTTATGTGTGCGTTTGTGTGTGTGTGTGCATGTATGCACACCGACATGCATACTATTACTCTCCTTGATTCTGTTCAAATGTCTCCTCATCCACAGAACTTTCCCACCTTCTCCAGGAAGAATCAGTCCCTTGTTACCATACCATTTTTTACAGGACAGTTAACATTGTTGGGATTATTTGTCCTTGTGTTTCTTCACATAAACTTTGGGTCCCCAAAGCACAGTGACTGTGTTTTCTTTTTCTTGAAGGGTGCCCCTACCCTAGCACAGTACTTGGCACAAATACGCCTGAATCAATATATGAATGTTAAAATCACTCCATCCATCAATCATCCATCCATCCGTCCATCCATCCAATCAGCCACTACAAGGCTGGTATCTGTTGTTCCTAATCTACTTCCTACCCAGTACAAGGACTTTACAGGCAGAAGTCATTCTTGGGGACTGTGCCAAGCCTATATCATGGCCACTCCCTTACTTGCCATGGATGCCCCACATTCCTTCCTAATACCACCTCAGGTGATTTCTTTTCCCCTTCTTTCCTTCTTTAGAACACCCTTATCTATCTTTTCATTCAAACATCACCTGTATAAAAACCCGGTGTGCTCTGAGGAGTGGCCTTTTGGAGATGGATTCTCGAAACTTTCAGAGACCAACCTCCCCATGGTGTCTGAGGCTGCCTTTTCCATGTTGAGAACAAATCTCATCAGTGTATCTTTTTTTTCAGCGACATCATCTCTTCCTCAAACATGAATAATCAGTCATTAGAAGAGGAGGAAAGGCTGAGTAGGAGATAAATCTGGGCTAAAATGAGGCTAATTTGAGAACAAAGAGAAAAGGAGATCCTGAGGCCAAAAGCAGTGGAGTGTGGCAGTCTTCTGCCTCTCAGAGGACAGCAGGGGCCGAGATTTCAGTAGACCTCCGGTGCGGGTCCCATTCCTGCTTGTCGTCACCCCTTCCCATGTCTCCTGACTGTGTTCATACCCCCACCCCATCTCTCAGGACAGAGTCAGTGTGCCAACCTCCTTCCCCTGCCCGCTGTCTTGGAAGTCCTGCCCATTGCCATTCTGTCTCTGTTCTGGCTTTGCTTCTTCAAGATACCTCTAGGATTGACTCCTTCTCCCCCGCTGAGAAAAACCCTTCACCGCAGTGTTGGGGCTGTCTGCAGTCTCAGATAGCCTCCCTCTCGCTGCTCCCCGTGCTGCCTGAGACCATCCTGTCTCCCGTTCCTGCATCTGTGACCCAGGCTCACCGACAGGCCACTCCAACCCATTCTCTTATCTCCTGCTTTGCTTGCACACTGAACACGCCTGCCGTTGCTACAGAACATCACAACCTTGCTGCTGGTTAACATGCTATTGGTTTCAACCAAAAGCCTTTGCAAAATTCAAAGACTTTCATGACCTGTAATGTAAATTGCAAAGACCGAACTAGAACAAAGTGAAAGCAAATTTCTAAGTGCAGGAATAGTTGTGTGTCGTAGGGCGGCTTCGAGTGATCCGGTGGATGTTGGTTTTGTTCTGCAATCTGTCTGCTGCCACTGGAGGGTCGGCAAATCTTCCACAGGGAGTTACTCGGGGCCAGGCTCAAGGTGACGGCTCACTAAACACATGTTAATTGATTTATTGATTTATTCATTCTGTCTTTGACAAACATTTATTTACTGCCCTTAGAGGACTCCCAAGTAGAATTTTACTTCTCTGCCCAAATGATACTGAAATCCAGTGACAGCCCCCAGGCTCCTGAAAGAGGACTTTGACAAAGTAAAGCGGCCTGGGAACAGGTTTGGCTGTCTTTGGCTCACCTTGAGCAGTAGCCAAGCTCAGCACGTTGGGAACGTGCATGGAAAACACACTCACTACATGCTATTTGTTCAGCAGTAACCTTCCTGAAGCCCATGTCTGTTGGTGAGAACCCGGCCTGAAAAAGTCAACACAAAGCTTCTGGCTGATTCTGCAGGAGCACGGGGCCACCGATGCCCTTAACGCACGCAGGTCCGGAACTCCTGTTGTGGGTTTAGCAATGGCATGGCAGGGGAATCCTGGCTTGGTCTCTCCCCACCAAGGGCCACAACCAAGGCCTGCGGCTAACTGTAGGGGCTTCCTTGAGCAGGGGAGCTCGTAAGCCCATTTCTAGGAGTGGCCTCCTCAGCTGCTGCTTTGGGGCTTGTTCTGGCCTCTCTATCTGTCCGTAGCTCCCTAGGACTCAAGCCAGAAGCCACATCTGAGTGGACGAGTGGACAAGAGGACTCTGAGGGCCACAGGGTGGCTACCGAGGCTAAGGGACCGGTGGGAATATTTACTGGCAACAGAAATACAAACGTATCTTCGGTCAGGTATAAAGACCTAGTCAATGATTACATATTTTTATTATTTACCTGGCAAAAATTCCCTAAAGAGAGAGAGAGAGAGAGAGAGAGAGAGAGAGAGAGAAGGCTTGATGTTTCCCCTGAATTTTGGCTCTCTTCAGTGTTTTTGTGGCTATGTGGTACATCTGAAATGTCTCGCTTCTGAACTGGGCTCAGAGCAGGGAAATCAGTTGGGAGACCTAAGCCTCGTAGACCTTGGCCCGTAAGAGGGTCTTGCTAGGGCAGAAAGTTTGGAGCCAGAGGTAGGTTGCAGCCCAACAAGGTAATTCTCCCAGCCTCCAGGATGACAAAGGTTGCATTTACACCTGGTCGGGAGGTTTAATCATCTACCATTTCCAAACACAGCAGGCTAACAACCGGCTGGGCTGAAAATCATAAATTAAAAAAAAAAAAAATTACCAAGAAGAGACAGTACAAAGGGAAGGAAGGAAGAGGTGGATCACTCTTTCTGTTCCAGAGGGCCCTGAGTGGGGGGCCCTGGCTGAGGGGCTGTGGGTGGGAGGCCTTGGAAAGGGGTCCTGGATAGGAGGCCTTGGGTGGGGAACTCTGGGTGGGGGACCTTGGTGAGGGCCCTGGGTGGGGAGCCCTAGGTGGGAGGCCCCGGTTGGGACTCTTGGTGAGGGCTTTGTGTGGGGGCCCCAAGCAAGAGACTTGGACAGGATTCCCAGACCAGTAGGAACAGCCCAGCTGCCATAAGCCCCATGGGAAAATGGCCACCTGTGACCATGGCTGTGAGAAAAGAAGTCTCCACCATAAAGATCTTCCCTTGGGGGCTTGCCGTTGGTTCTTATCTGTTGCCGCCTTCTTGTTAGAAGAGGCCAAGCTGTCTTTTTGTCACCAGCCAAGGCAGTCTGGCATAGGGGTGCATGCTCCCCAGACTGCCTGGGTTCAGATCTCAGCTCCACCACTCACGTGTGGCTGTGGGCAAATAACCTTGGCTCTATGAGCTTCAATTTCCCCGCCTATAAAATGTGGATGGTAACAGTCCCTGCCTCATAGGGTATTGTCAGGGTTAAGTGGGATAATGTGTTGTTATTGTTGTTGCTTCATTGGAAAAATGCCGTTTGGAGGACCAGTGACCAGCTTTAACTGCAGGTTGATGGTGTCTGAGCTCTAGGTGTGTCAACCCCATGATGATGAATTTATAGGTGGGAGAGACTCGGAGGTCCTGGGGTCCACAGGA